GGGGCAGGGAGAGGGCATGGTCACCTTTCTCACAGCAGGACCCTGTGGCACAGAGGCAGTTAGCAACCTGCCTAGACACATACACATGCGCCCACACCTGAGCACACAGGCAGAGCTGGGGTTTGAACCTGGGACTTGTGCTAGGAGGAAGCTTGTTATTCTTTAAATTTGAAACTGTTGTTTAAGTAACAACCGCAACAAAAATCCAAGATTTTTTTCTAATGTCTCGTAAAAATACTTGTATTTTCAAATATTCCACAAAGATATCTGCAAAAGAATTCTGCTTTTGTATTTTCACAAATGAAGAGTTCTAGTAACAATGATAAAAACCCAATAAATATGTGCTGCCATGTATTTTTGGCAGAATTACCATTTAAAATAAATCTGTCTCAGCCTTGAGTTATTACTGTTATTATTGCCAGTTTGTATTGCTGTATTAACCACTATATATTCCATGAGGGATGAATGAAGTTAATTGTTTCTATAAACTAAATTAAAGGAAGTGCTAATGCAGAACAACTAACCTTTGACATGTGTACTTAACTTCAGCAGAGGAGTGGACAGGCCTCTCTTTGTGAGCTTCAGATGACAATAATTGTAAATGTCACCTTGACATGCATTATTGGTTTTCTTTATAGTGACGTGCACAGAGCTTTTTAGTTTTAGTTTATAGAAAACATCGTGAGTTAGAGTTTTAAAGTTTTATATCTGCCAAGTTGAAATGATTCACAGATCATTTTTAAATGGGCAACTGTATTAGTTTTCTCAGGCTGCTATAACAAAATACCACAGACTGGGTAACTTAAACAACAGAAATTTATTTTCTCACAGTTCTGGAGGCTGGAAGTCCAAGATCAAGGTGCTAGCAGGCCTGATTTCTCCTGAGGCCTCTTTCCTTGGCTTGCAGACGATGCCTTCTCACTGTGTCCTCGTGTGGCCTTTCCTCTGTGCATCAGCGTCCCTGTGATTTTTCTCCTGCTTGTAAGGATAACAGTCCCATTAGATTCGGGCCCCATCTAATGAGTTAAAGCCTCTTTATAACTTTATCACCTCTTTCTAAGGCCCTACTTCCAAATACATTCACATTCTGGGGTTATTGGGGTTAGAGCTTCAACATACGAATCTGGAGAGACTACAGTTCAGCCCATAATAGCACTCTCTATCAGCTTCTAATGGACATGACATGGGAGCGGGATATATGGGGGGGGGGGGATACATTAAATTTAAAAAATTAGTGGGACAATTCTTCTAGCTCCCCCCTTTGGCAAAAAGAAAAAATTCATTTCAATAGAGTGGTAAATTCTCTTAAACCTGCTACAGAATTTTATTTTCAGTCTCATTTCTTAAAGTTTGACATGCTGCGTAACTGGGAAATTTTGATAAGCCACCTGCAAATGTTTTTCTGTTTGTTTTCTTTTTTTAATCTGAGCCCCAAATGAGGGGAATCCCCAAACTGAGGAAACCGCAACTAGAGAAGAAACTGAAATTTGTAACAGGATGATCTTTAAACCCACATGAGGCAGAGTGACCTGATACCTCATCCTTTCCGTATAAAGACACCAGTCATACTGGTGAATATTAGGGCCAAGCCCATGGAGAAAGGGTGGAGGAGAGAACCGTGGCCAGTGGGATGGTAGAAAAGCTGCTCTGGTTCAGCCTGTGCTCTGGAGAGCAAAAAGGTGTCCTTGAGGATCTGTGAACGCAGCCCTGCCTTGACATGGGCTGTGGGCTCAACTTCACACTGTTTAGTGATTCCTGAGGAATCTGACATAAAAAGGGTTCCCAGGCCCTGTACTCCTGGTCTCGGAGAGCACCTATAGCATCTCTCCAAAAGGAAGCTGCCTGCATGCCAAGTCCCAGAGGATCCCTGCAGATAAAGCCCTGCTGGAAACAAGCTCCCAGTCCACAGGCAGCTCAAGAAGCGTCAGCAGACAAAAACAGACAATATATGAGACTTCCAGGGACCTCAGATAATAAAATTATTGGATAGACACCTATAAGACAAGTATATCTAAAATGATTACATATATAAAAGAAGCAAAAACACAAGAAATGAATACAGCCCAGCTTTGCCTTTTTCTAGCGGATACCACTAGGTACTATTGACCATGAAGTAGGCATCGTTGGCTTCCTGAAGTCACAGGCTGGCAAACCCTACCAGGGAAATTGAAAACTTAGAACCTGGAAGCATGAGAGCCTGAGTGGGTATTTCACATTCTTTTTCCTGTTCTTCAGAATCATAAAGAAACTTGTTTTGGACTTTCCTGATTCAGCAGGATCCAAGCAGATCTGAAACACCAGAGGCCGTGACCTGGCAAGTTGTCTGTGTTGGTGACGGACCCTGAGCTGTGACGGAACACTGGGAGTGGCTGTTCTGAGGAGGGAGGGCGAGGCACGGTGAGCCTGGGCACCCTGAGTGCCGCTGACTTGGCTCCGCTTCCTGCGAGTGCTCGCCCGTGCGGAACTGCCGACACCTCTGCCTTAGCCCATTTGGGCTGCCGAAACAGACTGTCACAGACTGGTGGCTTATAAACTCAGATCTTCAGACCAGGAGTCCAAGATCAGGTGCCAGCAGATTCAGTGTCTGTTGAGGGTTCATTTCCTCGTTCTAGGACAGCTGTCTTCTCTGTGTCCTCACATGGTGGAAGGGGCAAAGGACCTCTCTGGGGTCGTCTTATAAGGGCTCTAATCCCATTTTTGAGGGCTCCACCCTCATGACCTAATCACTTCCCAAAGGCCCCACCTTCACATCTAAACTAGCACATTGGGGGCTTCGGATTTCAACAGCCTCTCTTCTCATTTAAACTTCTAGATCATAGGAGACTGCTTTTATCCCATTTTTGCAAATGAAACAGTGAGGCTTTGAGGGGCCGAGTCTGTGACCATAGAGCTGAGGACGTGGAGGAGCTTGCTGATCCCAAAGCACGTGCTAGTGACCACATAAGACTGGCTTTTGGATATAGAGCCAGCATTTTCAAACTCTATTCTTTGGAATACTGTAGTCCTAAAGGGTGAATTATTGGGATGGGGGGTGGGTGGTAAAAGTTCAGTGGTCATATACATTTAGGAAAGGTGGCATACTCTGCACTTCATAAGGCTTCATAATGCATGCTAAAGGGCAAGAAAATCTGGCTTGAAGAATCCCACTTAATTTTGTTCATGCTAGCATCTCCCACACTTAATAGATCCCAGAACCCACTTTTTTTTTCAAAATAGTCTTAATACATTAGCCATTAAGGAAATAGAAATCAAATTACAATAAGATACCACTTCAGACCCTCTAGGGGCTATAATTTAAAAGATAGATAATAAGTATTGGTGAGCATGTGAAGAAATTGGAAAATAGCACAGGTGGAGATTCTGTGGGACCTCGTTGCATTGAGAAGACGTACCCAACATAAAGCAAGCAGCCGCTTTGTCCCCATGGTTGCTACTCTGGATACACTATTGCTGTTATGAAATACTGTGAGACCAAAAACCAACAAGAGCCATGGGGGAATTTCAACCCCAGACTGGTTGCAATAGAAAATGGTGCTGTGGCTTTGGAGTTCGTCAAAATGGTAAATACAAAGTTACTACATGACCCAGCTATTCTACTAGTAGGAGTGTACCCAAGAAAATGAAGGTTTATATTCACGTACCACGCAGAAACCTGTACACAAGTTGTTCATGGCTGCATTATTTATAACAATCAAAATATAGAAATAACCCAAAAGTCCATCAACAGATGAATGGACGAATTAAAGGTGGCCTATCCCTGCAATGGAATATTACTCAGACATAAAAAGTAATGAAGTACTGACACATACTGTAACATGGATGGACCTTGAAAACAGGCTGCATGAAAGAAGCCAGTCACCAAGGCCATATATTTTATGATTCCACTTATGTCACATGTCCAGAACAGGCCAATCCAGATGACTGGTCGCTGAGGGAAAGAGGGGTTAGGAAGTAACCATTCGTGATTTGGGATTTCTGTTTGGGGTGATGAAAATGTTCTCAGGTTGATTGTGGTGATGGTTGTACAACTCCAAGTATACTAAAAAAACCATTGAATTGTACTCTCTAAGTGGTGAATTGTATTTGAGTTATATGGCCAGGCTATTTTAAAAAACTAAACTGACATCTGCCAAGACTCAGATTTTGTAGCACAGTTTGGGAATCTTAGCTGCCACCTGAGTAGCCTCTGACTAGCCCAGCAACTGTCCCGTGTCACCTGCAGCTGTATCACCCCATCAAAAGCATCTCTGGGGACAAATACTGTATGATTTCACTTACATATGGAATCTAAAAAACAAAACAAAACAGAAACAAACTCATAGAGAACAAAATGATGGTTACCAAAAGTGGGGGATAGGCAGAAAAGGGGAAGGGGATTAAGAAGTACAAACTTCCAGTCATGAAGTAAATCTTGGGGATAAAAGCACAACATAGGGAATAGAATCAATATTGTATTAACTGTACAGGGACAGGTGATTACTAGGCTTATCATGGTGCTCACTTTGTGTCAAGTATAGAAATACTGAATCACTGTGTTATGCACCTGAAACTAATATAATATTGTATGTCAACTATAATTGATAAAATATAATGAAGGACTATGCAGATTTTAAAAAGTCATTAATATTTGAGAAAATAGCACAGGCGGAGATTCCATGGGACCTTGTTGCATTGAGAAGACGTACCCAACATAAAGCAAGCAGCCACTTTGTCCCCATGGTTGCTACTCTGGATACACTATTGCTGTTATGAAATACTGTGAGACCAAAAACAATTAAGAGCCAAGGGGAATTTCCAAGTGGATCTGGAGTAAAAGGTGCGCTGAGTGCCATATCATGCTGACTCTTCTGCAACACTAACCCATAAATCCTTGTTGATGCCAGGTTATCTGGACTGACTAGTGGCCACAGGGCAACCCAGAACTTTGGAGCTAGTTCTCCTGGCCCTCTAGTTGTTCCATTTCCACACTGACCACAGCTCCCCCATCCTTTTTCTCCTAGTGAAAGCCGGTGGAATGCGAATCGTGCAGAAACACCCACATTCTGGAGACACCAAAGAAGAGAGAGACAAGGATGACCAAGAATGGGAGAGCCCCAGGTGGGAGAGTGCTGTCGAATCTTGAGCATGTGCCACAAATAATCCTAACTCAGTTAAACATTAATGTTTGTTCTCTGCTGTGTGCTCCGCTCCTGATAACTTGGGCTGGCTTGGGCTCCTGCTGTGTATTTTTCCTTTCCTAATCAGTGAAGTGGGGGTTCTGTTCTCAGGGGAGAAGTGGGGGATCTAGAACATGCCCTCTTTCCTGACTATATCTGAGTGTAAGTTACCAATCGTTGGGCGGTATCCTGGAGACCTTTGAAAATGCCATATTAGTTGAATCTTTGGTGTGGACCTGGCATTCTGTGACGCCAGGGTAGAGAGCTACTGATTTTTAAAATGTTCAAAAACATTTGGGCTTTCTTAGTTCTTCAACCAAATTGAGAATCAGTGCAGCCACAGCCTGGTGTCCTTAAATGACATCTCTGTCCCCAGCCCTCTGGGTCTCAGACACCTCATCTCCCTGCGTTCCCCATCTCTGTTTATTAACTGTTTTCCTCAGGGGTTCTAATGCCAAGTTTGGTTCAGGGACCTTGGTACCAGTCCATTTCCTCCCATCTTGTAATACGCAAACATGTACCACAAATGCATCGCCTCTCTGAGCTTGTCCACAATAAGCTTTCTGCCTTATGACTTGTCCCTAGAGGGTGTGTCCCTGAGAAGAGGAAAAATGTGGAAAGGGTATGGAAGGCACCTAACCTGTATTTCTGTGGATCGGGCACATTATTTAATTTCAGTCCAGTTGTCCTGAATGGGAGGTAGTATTCTCCTGATTTACATGTTGGAAACTCAAGTCCAGGGAGCCTATAAACTTGCCCACTTTGTATGCCTTTCAGGTTAAAGGGGCAGGAATTTAAGCCCTAACAGGGTCCAGAGCAGGCCAGGCTTCCAACTGAATTGCTTCCACAAACTTGTGCCCCCTAAAAATGACATGCAAGTTCTCGGTGGCCCCACATAGGCACTACATGTCCATTTATGTATGTGCCACACCTCTGGGTGTTTTCTGTAGATCTTCGGATAGTGTGAGTTACCCTGCAGTCACTTGAGGGGCAGGCAAAATTTGGGGTAAGTTTCTGAGTGATTTCTGCCCCATTTTAAATCATGAGATCAGCAACATGAAGATTTTAAAAGAAGTTCTGGTTTTAAAAGAAGTGGCTTAAAGAAAATTCTTTCTCACTGGCTACTTTCATAAAGCTGTGTTTGGAACATAACAGAATCAGTAACTCCTAGAGGTCCATAGTCCTTTAACTGAAGACCTGAGACCCTGCTTTATTTCGGAACTGAGAAATTCTGCTTTTCTGTGTGAGTTTAAGTGGAAAAAGGTACAAATAGCTTTTTCCCATGTAACTGTCAATACAGTGAGAAATGATAATTTACTAGCATTTTTAAAAATAAGGACAGAACAACCCATTTTGTTTCTATTGATTTTTTTCATGAGGTGAAATGCAGCTTCTATGAAAGATGTGTCATTTAAATAAATATGCCAGAGAATGAATGATTGCAAGAGAGGAGCAAGCACCTAGGACTCTAGAGTTTAGCCTCTCACTTACAGTAAAGGTTTGTTTTCTGCAGAACCAAGTATTGGGAAGCCAGCTGACTGCAGGACAGGGTTTGCATAAGACACAGGCAAGGGTTTTTTGTTCCCTGCAGCCAAATGGCTATAATGTGTTCCCTATGGGTAGGCTAGGTCTGTCCTCCTCACTTCGGCTTAGCTCTCGACTGCTGAGGGTTAAACCACTTGACATACCAGATGGGGCCAGCCTCTGCAGAGTCAGGCTGTTGACCTGTGCTGCCAACACAACTCCTTCCAAACCCCTGCACTGGGTCTGGTACTCTGCGTAAGAGTTTACCTCCACTACTAGGCTCTCCCTGTTTTCTCGTGGGCTGATTGAATAACTCTAGTTAAGTCATCATCCTTGTATTTTAGAGTGCAGTGAGTCTGGCCCTTTTCCAAGTGCTCTGTGCACGCTAATTCGTTGGGTCCTCCCAACTACTCCACTGTCATCCCTATCCCAGAGTTGGGTATTGATTATTATCCCCATCTCAGATTACTACTCCCACTTCAGAAGCTCAGAAAGGTCAGGCTCACACAATGAATGAGTGGCAGAGCCCACATCCTGGCGCTGGCAGCTAGGCGTCCTCACTCTGAGCCACGAGGCTGTGCTCACCAGTCGTGTGCCTGTTTTCTGCTGGGCACTACTGAGTGCTTTACATCAAGTTTAAAGCTCACGCCACTTAGGAGTTGATATGACTATGACTATGATACAGACGAAGAAATCATGGCTTCGACAGGCTTTTGGGCCCAATGATACATAGCTGGTCAGTGGCTAGGCCAGGAGTCGGCCATGAGCCTGTCTTCACTTGGATGCCCATGCCTCCAATACTCTACAAAGTTCCCCTGAATTGGCGGAGTATTTCTAAGATGAACATAGACTGTAAGTCTGGATCCCCTTATAAAATCAGCCAATTGATTCTAGGGTTGCCCATCACCTTTTCCATATTCCTCAAGCCTGTAATCCTACCCGTGCAACCTCACCATCAGGAGATGATCTAATTGTCAGTTTAAAACGAGGTTCAGGTGACTGGAAATACTTTACATATGGAAATGCCTATTTTTTTGCAGAATTTGTCAAACATGTTAATTATTCTCTTGGAAATGTCGTGGTGACTTCAATATCCTCATTACCCTAATCCTAAAGCTTTATATTTTTTCATGTTTGGATTCAAAGTGTTGTCTGGATATGAAAATAAGTGCATAGTCTCAGGTGCCAATTTCCTTCTTTGCAAAACGTTTTACTTCTCTTTCCGAAGTTTTTAAAACTAGCTTTATATTTACCATCTCATCTCTGGTGGCTTCTTTCCTCATTAATCTGATAATCAAATACTGATTACAGGGAAAAGGAACAACTAGAGCATTAAAGACGTTATTATGTGACCAAACGTACCAAAAACCACAACTCTTCTTTGTAATTATTTTTATTGCAAATATTTATGCTACTCTTAATTCCTTTAATCTTATAATTTTTCAGAGATTTACAAGTAATTTCCTGTTGTCAAACTGTTTTGAGGTGCTGCATTTTTTTTTAAAGGGAAAAGGGTATAATAGAAATTTAAAAGAAATTACATCCAGCTGAGTCCTAGCTACCTGTGGCTCTTGATATCTAGAAGAGTAATAGGATTCACCATTATTAACCAGTGCTTTCCTGAGTGGCTGCTAGTTTCTGTCTCAGAACTGAGCCAGTTAAGGAAAGCCATGATTCTCCTCAAAGCCTTCTGTTGAGTGAGGTGCATTATGTAAAGGAGAAGTTGCAGACACAGAATGGACATCAGGAGTCAGTAGGAGCCTCTTAAGAATGCAGTTCAGTGTTAAACATGTCCTGAAGTCCTATAATGAATCATGCATGGTGCAAGATAATAAACAGGATAGGTGAGAGGAAGAATAAACTAGAAGTGGAAAGGGGTTGGTGTCGACTAGGGGTGGGCAGGAAAATGGTGCAAGTAAGGGGGTATAGGGACAGGCAATAAGAATGAGACAGGGGGTGGTCCTTCTCTGAGCTCAGCTCTTTACAGCTCTGGCTAGGACTATGGTCCTCTTTCACATACCCGAAAAATAAGCGTACGGTTCAAACCACCCAGCATGTAGGAGAGACCTATAATGGAATACAAACAGTAACAGATGACTCTAACTGTAATACAAATGGTTACTATAACCAATTGAAAGGAGTGGAAGAAAAGGCCTAACTTAAGCAACTTTGGAAAACAGTATTTTGGCTGGATACTATAAGGCTAAAACAAACACATGAACAAATGAACAAAAATGTATACAAATGATACACTCCAGTTAGTAAATGTGTTTCTTACAGGAGTGTGTATATATGGGTTTAGCAATTCTGAAATTGCTTTATATATATACCAAGACTGAGCAAATAAGTAAATATATTGTGGGTAGAGAGAGCTAAGTTGCTCACTGTCAGAAAAGGAGGTTACTACAAATAGTAAACAGAAGACTAAAATGAACTTTGTGGTGTTGAGTTGAAATCGGAAGTATCAGTATGAATTCATAGTTTTAAATGGATAGGTGGGTGGGTAGGTGGATGGATAGTAAGATACCTACAGGTATATACATACATGCAGAAACAGATCTAGATAGGGAGGATTAGTGTGCACGCCTGTGTTTCCTAGCCGTGTTCATGGAGAAGACCTGAAAAAAAAAAAAAAATGATCACTTGATTCCCATGTAGCCATGAGCATCCTGAGAGCCCAAATCTTGGTTCCTAAACACCATTCCCCAATTGAGGGAACCAGAGTTCCTTGGAGAAGTGAGCGATTCCAGGGCCAGAGCAGAAAGAATGCTGGATGAGCCTGGACAACTTGTAGTGCCAGAGCGTGAGGGGGTGCACTAAACAGGGTGGGCTTCTCAGAGCAACACCGGCGCCAGCCCGAAGGAGCTCCCGATGGCCCAGGCTGGAACAGTCTAATACAACAAAATTAATAATGGCAGCATTGGATTATAACCCACAGAGTAAAAATAAACATCCATCAGTCTGCCCTGAGATAAATAAGAAGGGACAGCTCTTTATGGAATAATTTTCAGTTAATAAATGTAAAAGGAAGGCAGGAACTAAAACATCACCAGAAGGCAAACAGCACAGTAAGGTTTGGAGACAAGGTCCACTGATGGGTGCTATGATTACTGGGTGAAAGTTTAGGAAAAAAATGAAATACCTGCATAGTCTCACAGAGTCTCTCCCAATGTGTTTATTAATTACACAACAGAGAGTGTCATTACTGCAAACACCATGAAAAAGACCCTTGTTTCAGTGTAAAAGTTGAAATAAGAAGGCAGAATATCATCATGTTTGACTTCATAGGGGAACCAGGCTGCTTGTCAGCTGCCTTTTAAAAGAGAGGCATCCTTTTCCCCATGATGTGCATAGATGCCAGTGGACTAGGGATGCGGAGTGCCACCAGCTGCCAACCCCTGTGCGATTTTGGGTGTG